CAGGTAGCGGGGAAGCGTGGCACCTGCTGCTGTCAGCCCCTCACTGGTATTTTGATCTAACCTCTCCTTCACCCTCCAAATTCAGTCAGCTTCCTAATCCTGTTCACTCCAACTATAATTATCTTAATTTTTCACTCTTAAAATAACTGTCTTTTAAAATGCTCTCACCATTCCTTGGGAAGTATTTCAATCTAGCTTTAGCATCCTGAGTTCAAATTTTACTCTGTTACCTAAAAAGACATGTAAACTTGAGTTATTTTAGTTTTCTAAGTGTTAGACGACTTAATTTGAAAACATACATAACCACAACCACAGTACCTATCTCACTGGGTACACATTGTGAATATTTGATGATATGAGAAGAAAAGTTAGCACAATACATAAAACTTAGTAAAATTTTAATCAACTTATACTAAAAATCCATTTGGACTAGATTCTTCTAATTGAAACACATATACATGTACACCCTCTCAGTTGGTATTTGCATTAGAAATGCAAACTTTTAGATATAAGCAAAATATCCAATAGTGGAAAATGGTTAAATAAATTATGAAACATCCATAGTATGGTGTGTCATTTAGCCATTAATAATAATGAAAATCAATCCTTTCTTAATACAGATATGACCACAAGATATTGATTTTAAAAAGGTGGATTGCTAAAGAGCATATAATTGGCTAACAGAGCTCGTTTTCCATCTATCTTCTGATATGCACAAACTGTTTGGCCCCATAAATCTCAGACATATAAACACAGTCTCACAGCATGAAATACGAAATATTTCCTTGGCACTATCATTTCATCTCCTGCGCTTCTTTTATTACAAACATCCACATTCTTCTCCTTTGCCTTCTGCCATGTGTTAGGTTTATCTTCTACACCTAACACTCCAGTGCAACTGTTTCAATTGAAAAAACTTAAGGCATCTCTTCAGTATTTACCCTATTAAAGATTTATCTTCAGCTACCTTGACATTATTAATATTTCTTCTCCTAACAAAATCAAATTCTGTGGTGTCCTATTCCTTCTTGTCTTCTCTTTTCTCTTTTCATTTTAAGTGACAACTTGCCCCCACATGCTCCTTAACCCTCTCTTTGCTCTACATCAGTTCCATGGGTTTTCAATCCATTCCTTGATTTGAACTGCCCTTTATTTCAACACCAGTGATTAGTATTTCCAAGCCCTATTTTCAGCCCTAGCTTCAACACTGCTTCAGAGGATCAGACCCAGGATTACAACTGCTCACCTCATATCAACTTGGCTATTTAAGAAAATATCCCTTTAAATTTCTCTCAGGCAAGAGGATCAGGATAGCTAGCTACCAATCTAGAGAACCTGTGACCATCATGAATCCTTCCATTTCCTAGTCTGTCCCCTCTATTTAATGACCTTGTGCCAATGATCCTATCTCAGTTTCATAATACCGCCCCATTCACAGAACTCTACCTTGGAGAAGATCTTCACCTTCTTTCTTGAAATGTTGTAACAATTTCCTAAACGGTCTCTTTATATCAGGCTCTCATAACTCAAAAGACTTCCTAGACACTGTGTTTTGATAACTCCAGAAATAAACCAAATCCTTCCTTGTCACTTCCCACATAAAAGTCGTCTCCATTGGCTCATCACTAGTTAGAGAATCAAGTCCTCACCTCCTGGGTTGGCTCCCTAGGCCTGTCACACATGGTTCATGTAATTTCTCCACCTTCATGGCTTATGTGCTTCCTGAACACGTGGAACAGCCATCATATCAAACACACAAACAGTCCCCCAACAAGATCTATTTCTTGCTCCCTTGCCTTTGTGTTTGATACTCTCTTTGATTCGAATATTCTTCTATTTTATTCACCTAATAAACTCCTATTCATCCATCAACAACTTTGAGATGTCATTTTTTAACATTTCATGGCCAATTCTAGAGTCTTTGCTCTCTCCAAGCCCTATCATACTTGACCAGTTTAACGTTGTTCACTCCTGGTTCCTGTTTCCTCAAATGAATGCAAGGTAGTTAAAGATGGCAGCCTCATACAATGAACACTGTGTTCTTACTAAGTATCTGAAATTTTGGAAGGAGGGTAAGTGACATAAACTGTGAGAGCAGAAACCATACCTCCACCTTGTTGAGAACACAGCTTTTATAAAGTATTTGCAAGAGAAGAAAGGGTCGGAAAGAGAAAAGAAATGAAGAATTTATCCCAAGACGCCAGGAATTAATCAGACTCTACCGTAGATCCTCTTGAAACGAGATGTAGAAATCATCTTAACCTTGCAGAACCTTGAGATATTGTTGAAGATGCCATAGACATGGAATCTACAGGCTCAAGGATTTCCCTGATAATTAGGCAAAGCAACTAATTACATAACCTAAAGGATGCTCTTCCTGATAATACTACCTCCCAACCCCATCTTGCCCACAATATTTTTACTTAAGAGAATAAAATAGTATAGTTCCATACAGATTATGTAGTTCTTCTACTCCATTACCATTAATATTAAAAATCAAATGATAAGAAAAGTACTAGTCTCTATGGAAATTTCAAGATTATTGCTTGAATTTCTTGTCAGCATATCTATGAAACCACTTACATTTTAAAGTCAACAGCTTTGAACATACCCCACATGTGTATTTGGGTGTGATTTCTTTTTTCTTCTTCAGTTGTACACCACCTACCACCACCACCCCACCCTCTCTCCTTCTTTCTTTACTCTGAAGTCAAACTGAAACCACCTGTTTTTTTTTTAATGAGGTCTTCAAATATATAGAATAGGCATTAATGTCCTTTTAAGTTATGTGTGTTCCAAACTAAACTTCCCCAGGTTCTTTGTTATTCTTCATGTAACATGATTTCTAGTTCACTTGCTAGACTGGTTATTTTCTTCCAAATGACATCCAGAGGTCTAGACTTCTCTTAAAATGTAGTGTCTGAATAGAGTGTGGCCACTCAGTGTGGAGAAGAGCAGGCAGCCTCCTATTAGATCCTCTCTCTCAAAGAAGCTTAATGTTGAATGGGCACTTGAGAGAGAGCCAATCTATATTTTTATGCTGAGTTATATTTGATTCAAACTCTAAAGTTCTATATTAGTTTTTAATTTTTGCAATTCCTAAGTCACTCTCCCATAGGATTTTGGAATCTTGATTTTCAGAATAAAATTAGAAGAAAATGATCATCTAGGGCCATTCTTTGAACCGTTTTTTTTTTCATTGATTCATTCTTAAGCACTGATTGCTTAAGAGTATAAACAGAAGTAATCCTGAATAACATCACAATCCAACAATATATGTCAGGGCTCACACAAAACTTATAATGGAGATTCTGAACAAAGTATATACAGGAAAGAAGGATATAAAAATTTTAAAATCTGGGGCTGGGGACGTGGCTCAAGCGGTAGCGCGCTCGCCTGGCATGCACGGGGTGCTGGGTTCGAATCTCAGCAACACATAAAAATAAAATAAAGATGTTGTGTCCACTGAAAACTAAAATAAATAAATAAATATTTAAAAAATTCTCTCTCTCTCTTTTAAAAAAAAATCTGGAAAGAAATATAATCCTTTCTGTACCCTTAGCCCTTATTAGTGAATCCTGGGTTACTGCCAAGGTAACTTGAAACTGTATGTACACAGTGGAATAGCATCTCTTAAAGTGGGTTTGAAGAAATATTAGTTCCGAGATATTAACATGTATTAATGGAAAAAATGAGAAATACAGAATAAATGAAGACAGAATTCTCAAGTCCTCATGTTTCCAAATGTGAATTTTAAGTTCCCAGATCTTAACAACATTAAAATTATCTCAGAAGGTTATTGAAAATGATAAATTCCTAGCCCTGAATCCTATATCTCTGATTCAGTAGACCCAGGTTGAGGTCCATGAACACACCCTTTCAGCAAGGGTCCAGTGATTCTGAAACTTCCAGCAAAAGAACTGCTCTGAAAAAATCCTGGGATTGAACCATGAATTACCTTACTTTTTCAGGGAGAACTAGGAGGAGGTTTGTAGTATACATAATTTAGGGAATAATGTGCTAGATTCTATACTACTTTTGAATTTCTAGAAAATGAAAGCACCATTGAGGTAATTTTTTAACTCCAGATAGACAGGAATCTGGAATTTACTTTTATTTTGCCACAAAGTTTATCGAAGAAAAATGTAACCTTTTAAAAAACATAGCAACTTGCCTAAATATCCCAAACATGTCTGCTTCTCAAGTTCCAGGTAAAAATATCTTTCACAATTAAAAGAAAATTTGGTCATGGCAACATTTATCCTGGAAGCAAGAATAATGTAGAATAATTGCCCATGTATGAACGCAAAAGTATTGAATAGATGGCTTAGTGTTAAGAAAAAATTTTTGAATAAGTGAGATGTTGAGCTGGGAATGAGTCTCCTCTAGGGTTAAATAACTATAAGTATTTAAGTAACCTACATATTTATTTGTTAGGAAGTTCACTGGGGAAAAAATCAATTATTACTAGTCTTCTTTACTTAAAAATAGATTTCAAAAAATGTCACCCTAAGAAATTTTCTAATTTGGAGAGACAAACATTAATATTAGAAGCACTTAACAAATACAAACTCAAGCAAGGAACTGAAGTTTGGCAACACATAAAAATGTCACAGTACTTTTACAACAAAACTTTGCTCTTCGAAAACAATATATAGCTCCAAAGACACACACATATATCCACTTACAAACACAACATACGCACAATCACTCTGAGAACAGCCAGTTAACTATACATTGCACATTGACTAAATAGAGCAACCCATCTAAATGATTACAGCACAAGTAATACTTGCCCTCCCTTTCTCATTAATATTCTCTCAATGGATGACTTTCTAAAAAGGAGAAAAAAAATTTATAAGAATTTCAGAGTTCCAAGATAAAATAACAACAAATACATATTTGAAATTTCAAAAATTTACCAAAATATAAAAGTCAATCTATGATTATTATTATTTTTTTGTAAAATATAAGCAAGCTTCTTTTTCTTTTACAGGTACCTGCAAAATGTGACTTCCCAAATGTGCTTCAAATACTTCAATAGCTAGTGCGCTGGGGCTTCTCCTTCGTTGTGCACCTATAACTTAAAAAAAAAAAAAAGAAAGAAAGAAAAAAAAGAAAAGGAAAAAAAGAAAGAAAAGGAAGAAAATAATTAAGTTGGAGCTCTGATTTCATGCCTGCAGCTTAATTTCTTTCCAATTGCATCACCATCTAGTTACAATATCAATGACATCTGAAAGAAACACTACCTACTATTAACTTTGGTTCGAGTTGTTTGGACTTATGCTTAGGTTGAATAGCAACATCTAGAGACAAAAAATAAAAATAAAAATAAATAATTTTCTTTTGTATTGTTTTTCTGACACTGGTGTAAAAACATATGAATGTTCATATTCCTTTAAAATAAAGGTATTAATATTTTTTAAACACCTTTTGACTACCCCTCCATACATAAACATTTTGTGTCCTCTGGGCTAGAAATACCAAATAGGGCATTCCTTGTATTTTCTAATGAAATGACTTTATCACAATTTGATACGAACAAAATATCAGATAAGAGATTATCAAGAATGACATTTTGAACTAGGACTAAGATGAGTGAAATTCATATTTACCAAATGTTTACGTGTAACTGTTCTACAGGGTTGATGAGCAGTTCATCTGGACCCCTGACTAGCAGTTCCCAAATACTACTGTTCTAATATTAGCATGGGGTCGGCCCTCTTCAAGACATGGCCCACAAACTTTACATGAAGGCACCTGCCACTTCAGGAGGCCCCACAGTCTTAAACAAAAGTGGGCCTAAAGAATTCTATTTGTGGAATTCATAATTGCAGGTCCTCCTTTTCCATTTTTTTTTTTAAGCATGGGTTGACAATGTGCTTTTAAACCTCTTTTACTAGATAGATTTTTTCTTTCTTTTTTTTGGAGGGGGCGTTGTTTATTTACTTTTGTGGCTGTTTATTGTTCTTAAGCATCATAAAAATCTGAAACTCTGCTCTCAGTTATAAAAGGAAATGTTCAGATCTATATGTCCAACAAGTAAATTCTTTGTGTCCTGCTTTTCTTGAAAACTTTATCATAAACCTCTGCTTCTTTGAGCCTAGATACCATTAATTGAAAATAGAAATCAAAATCCCCTGCTTTCTTATGGTTAAAAACACTTTCAGCTAGTTAACAAGAAAATTCCAGCAAAATGCTGCTGGGAGAATCCTGTTTCATTTCAGTTACTAAGTCAGTCGGTCGTATCCGTAGCTTAGTAGGGATTATGCTATAAATGCACTTACGATTATTGTGCTGTGCAAAAGTAGGGAGTTTACCCCTGCAATTGAGAGTCAGTGTTTGCAATGTCTGAAAAGCACTTTGAAAATAGCATGAGTGTTAAGTATCATTATTAATGGCAAGAGAAAAATAAAAGGGATATTTTTTCAATGGGAAAATTTATAAAATATAATTGAAGAGTGATTATTATTAAAAAAAATTTCCAGCTGGAAGGGATCTGGGAGATTTCTTCTCTAACATCCTCATTAGCCTCAGGAGCAAAACATACAACTAATAATTTTAAAACAGAAAAAAAATCAGTTTTTCATCCTGAAATTAATCTTTATTGTAAGTATGGACATAGGATTTAAAAATTTTTAATATTCAGATATATTTAAGACAGCACTACCGTGTGTGTGTGTGTGTGTGTGTGTCTATGTGTGTGTGTGCATGCGTTTCTGATTAATTTTCTATTCTAACATGCACATTACTCCCTTCAAAACTCCTTTGGCATTTTTGATAATGCAGCTGTCTTGCTGAATACTGTTTTCAGTTTCTAGAGTGTTAATTGCACATTATGGTAGCTTGGTGTGAATGATCCCACATGAATAAAATCTGCAGCCTTTTTTTTTTTTAAAGATTATGGGGGTGGGTGGCTTTGGGGAGGGAGAAGAGGGGAGTTGAAAAATTTCTAAAGTGTCCACTTTCTTTCAGAGGCAGTAATTAGGATTCAGAAAGATCCTTATTAATAGTTCATAATTTGGGGGGCACTTCAAGGCTTTCAATTACAAAGTTCAAAATAAACCCTTGCACCTCATTAAAAAAGAATAGACTAACTTTACAGAATATGAACTGTTCTATGAAGAACTGGATTAAGAGGGGGCCAAGAAAGCAAGGGCCACTAACATACAGGGGACCCTAAAACCTCAGGAAATGTAAAGAAGCATTATTTGTTAGAAGGCCCATGAGGAAAGCTCCAGTAATAACAGATGGCAACTAAAACGCTTTCTAGAAGCCCAGAAACAGTTGTCTTGAATAACAGGCAGGGGTTATTCAAGCCTGGCTATCTTTGGCCTTTCTTTTCCTGCCTTTCCCCTGTTAGGCTGTTTAGGCTGCTCTCTAAATAAATGTCTTCATCAGGTCGTAGGTTCATGAGTCCTACCTGCACAGTTATTCTTTGTTCTTCAAATCCTCCAGAAACCTGAGAGTGCATCCTCATACATGCTAGCACAATATACAAGTATCTTGTAAGTAGTTTCATGCTATTCTATTCAATGGCATTTTTATGGCACTGGAACTTCTTTTGATTTATATGTTTTGCACTTAGGCAGGTGATGTGGGTCTGTAATGACACTTCCTAATTTTACAACCAACATAAATATGTTAAACAGGGGCCCATTATGCCCCTGGTAGAAGCCCTGCTTTAAAACTCTAGCATTATTGGTAACTGAATAGATGTTAAATACAGACTTCTTATCTTGCACTTATTCTATCACATTTGGCATTTTGAGAATTGAGACACTGACAATTCAGGAATACTGTGAACATAGTTATTTTGTTTTTTTGTTAATCTCATTGTGTTTATAGAGTATCATTAATGCTCAAAGAAGGACTAAAAAGCATTTCCTCAATGAGGTCCATCATCTTCACAAAAATAACATGGCTTATGAATTGCTCTCAGATTTCTCTATTTTAGAAGTTGACATTTTCTAAACCCCCACTCCCTTCTTCCCCCCATAACATCATCACCATTATTATTATTATCATCATCATCATCATCAATTTTGGTACTGTGGATGTTGAAACCAGGGACTCTTTTTCACTGAATTACATTGACCAGTTCATTTTATATTTTATTTTGAAACAAGGTCCTACTAAGTTGCTGAGGCTGGCCTTGAACTTGTGGTCCTTCTGCTTCAGCCTCATGAATCACTGATATTACAGGCTTCCACCACCATGCCAGGCTCAAGTTATACTCATTATTGCTGAACAGTAAGAGTTTCATCTGACATATTTCATTTGTTTCTTCAACTAAAAGCTAATCTTTTGAAATTTAAAGAACACTAAACCAAACACATACATCTACACATACATGTGTGCATGTGCACACACACATGCACATTGATAAATAAATGGAATGAGCGATCCCTCGTCTATGAAGATTATGTCACTAACTCTAGACAGTGAGGCATGAAAGCTGTATACTTTGAAGATCTTATAGAGATTGTCACAAGAAAAAAAATAAAACCATAATAATATAACTTAAAAATCTTTTAAGATTTTCTGAGTGCCAATCTGATGTTAAAAAATCTCTTAGCTACTTACCGTAAAGTAACTAGTGTTATAAAACCCAATAAATAGTCCAACAGAAAAAGCCATTTAAAACAAAAGTAGGTACACTTTGTTACCGTCATTAACAAGCACCACAATCCTACTTTCTCATGTTTTAGAAGAGTTGAAAACAAAACAGCGGAGATTTTAAGAGACTTTAAATGGAAGAAATATATAGGGAGAAGTATTATTTTTTAAATTTTAAAAAAATCAGCTAAGCAAATCCTGACCTGACCATCTCTTTCAGAAACCCCCAAATGATCTGATGAAATTATAGGACCATGCATGTGGTCTTATTCTCATTAAAAAATAGAAGACACATAAGGAAACCAGAGTCTAAAACACATGTCTGAAAAAATTAGTTTTACCCCCACCTACCAATGTCAATTGTAAATTAGTAAATTGTAAATTACCCCCCCCACACACACCTAAAAAAATGTCCCAATCTGGATTCTTCGGCATAATCTCACACGGTGGTCTTTGTGAGTTAATTCTATGCAATAAAAGACAATCCTCTTTCAGAAATCTACCACACACGCCCAGTCATATTCCTGGCCAGGGCTCCTCACCTCCAGGGATGCACACCCCTGAGGAAGGCTGAGGATTAGCACTCCGTGGGAGTTTGACCTATTCAACCAAAAGGTCAACTTGCCATAGAAGAACCCATTACAAAACAGAAAGAGGACAGCTCAGTGGACACACATAATGAAAAGGGGGAAAGTCATGGCCCTCCTTGCCTTGTGCCTTGCCTTGCCCTTTTCCTTTGTAGCCCTCCCCACATCATCCCTGGCCAGCACAGTTGAGGGCACAGGCGGGGAACTACAGCTAGGCTTGCTACGGAAGGAATCCCCTTGAAAGAGGTATTCCAAAGTGAAGACATCGTGCGGCACGGGTGCCATAGCTTGTTTTACTAGGAAAAAGTCATCATCAGCAGGTAGGAAAGATTGTGTTAGAGGTGCCTTCTCACCCCCTCTCCCAAAGCTGTGGGGAACAATATAGAATCCTAGGAGACTGCAGCCTGTAAGTTCTACAGGTCGTATCAGTATCTTAAGAATGGAATCATTCAGCCAGTAAAAAGGCAAGATTCATGCCAGGTCACCTCTCCTGGCTGCCTTCTGACTTTCATCCAAGGAACAAGCAAGGATCTTTTCCCACACTGAAGAAGGGAGGCCCGAAGTACGTGCTTAATGGAATCCACAGGCATCACTCCCTGGGCTTCAGCATTTGGCTGAGCAAAGTCAGGGTCTGCTAAAGAATGGAGTACAGAATGCTTAATGAGTCTTTCCCTGGCTACCAAGGAAAAGAAAAGGGATTTCCCTTGAAGAATCTCAATTAGCCTTCCTCACTATGGGGCAAGGAAGCCAGGGAGGATTTTCACCAGAACTACGGAAATTTATGGTGTGTGTGTGTGTGTGTGTGTGTGTGTGCGTGTGTGTGTGTGTGTGTGTGTACGCATTTCCCTATCAAAATGAAAACTGCTATGTTTGCATG